GGGAAGTTTGCAGGTTGCTGTCTTACAGTCAGGGATAAACTTTTTTTTTTGAAATTTTGGGTTTGAAAATGGAGGTGTTTAGTTTACTTGAATGCATGTGCTTACACAAGTACTGTGTTGGTGAAACTTGCTGCTTCCTAACTTGCCAGTTGCCACACACCCAACCTGCTGCAAGCAGTTGAACTTTCGGCTGTCACAACTTGCCGCAGTGTTAACTTGCTGCTGTGATAAGTCACTGCAGGTGGAAGTTGCCACTGAAACAACTCACTGCTGTAACAACTTGCTGCTATAACAACTTGCTGCATGAATTGCAGCCACTTGCCATTGCATTGACTAAAATTTCAGGAAAAAAGGAATTCCCACATTCTTCCACTTATTAACTAGGCATTCTGCTGTTTGAAAATGTTTAGAATATATAGAGGAGGTTTAGAGGAATATATAGAGGAGGCTGACCTAGTACTATTGGTGGCTAAATGACGTGAATTTCATTTATGATGGCAAGGTTTTTCTTATTGTATTGTACACTATTTTTTCAATTGCAAACATCTTCTACTGTGAATTACGTTTTAAAAAGCTCTAGAAGTGTCTGAATTAATCAACAAGTACAGCAAGTTGAAAGAGTGGCAACTTATAACTACTGCAAGCTGTGACTGTGGTGAGAAATGATTGCAGCAACTTGTTGCAGCAGCAACTTGTGACTGCAGTCACTTCAGGCTGTGGTCAGTTGCAGCAGCAACAAGTTAGGATGCAGCAAGTTGAAGTGCGGCAAGTTCAACTGTGGCAAATTTCACCCACACCCACAAGTACAAATTCCATCCTGCACGGCTGCAGGATGGAATTAAACCCACTGCCACCCAATAGGCTTAAGATCTTTGAATATTTTTCTGAAAAATTACCCATGATGCCGCATGTATCATCCTCAAAAATTGTGAACCATTTTAACCTCCTTGAAATGTCCTCTCCAAATTTGAATTTGGCTTGTAGAAGATGTAACCGTAAATGCAGGGTTCAATAATATCTAGACTAAATTTTTTTTTCTTTTTGCAGCACCTGATATTCTCGCTGACTTACCTGATGTCCTCGCTGATCCCAGACGTGCCAGTGGACCTGAAAATCCAATTACAACGAGAAGCATCGGCAGCTCGCGAAGCCCTCTTCGACGGCGAGAGGCAATACTTCAACAACCGACCTCGCAGTCGAGCCTCGTCCACCGACTCCCACATGGCCGCCTCTGACTTGACCCTCGGCGCCCAAATGGCCGCCACCGCGGATGCATCCCGACAGGACAGCAGCCACCAGCACAAAAAGCAGCGTCCTTTGTCAAATTCCGGCTTAGTCGGCATAGCGGGGACTCAGGCCAAAAACAGAGACGCGAGTAGCGCGCCTGCGTTTCTCGTGGAAGAGGTCAATTTCAGCGACTGATTTTGTCAACAAGACAAAAGAAATTTTTCTCTCTCGGCTTGTCAATTCTCCTCGAACTACTCAAGGTGCAGCAGTCATTATTACCGTATTTTTTGCTTCCTGTTACGACGAAGCTTCGCACGAAACCCAGATGAGGGAAGAGAAACTGAAGGTGCGATTTATTCGTTTTCGAATCGTTGATGTTATATACGCGCATGTGGAGTTACAGTATTTTTATGCAAGGGAAATCTTTTTCTGAAACTTTGAAAAATATTATTTATGAGGAGAAATATACGCTTAACGTAATCAGAAATAATATGCATTTCTACCAGATTAAAAAAATAATAAACCTCTGTAATAACGTATAAATCTGTTTTTCTTTTCACTATTCTTGAACAATTCGCTGGCAATTCATAACAAAAAAAGCTTCAACTCGTTATTATTCCGGCAAAATTTCGAAGCGAAAAATCCAGATTGTTGTTCTACCGATATTTTCTTGCGAACAAAAACTGCTGAGAAAACAAGCATTGGATTATGCAAGTGAAGTCAGATTTATTAGGATTAAATTATCCTCTCGGTTTTATTTTTGAGGACATTCAACGAGTAAAGATAGACATTTTTTTCTTTTAAAATGATTAATAGAATATTGAAAAATACGCTTCATGGAAACTTTATGCAGGAAGTGTGAAAATTCGCCAACTCTGGAATGCTCCTTAAAATCTATATTTATTTGGGATGGATATCAATGTATTTATTCATTTTAAAAAATTGACATTTGATGAAATAGATGTCGTTAGAAGGCTGTAAAAATTTCGGTTTGACTCCGAATTTAAGATGACTGAAATTCATTGAAAAATCACGAACAAGTGCGATGTAGCCAATTTTTTCATCGTTCGACAAATCTTGAATTTCTGCAAGATATTGGAATTTGCGGAAATACATTCATGTTCACTGATCGCTGTCGAACGTGCGTTCATTCATTTTGATGTCGTTGAACTATTTTTCAGTCAGCTTCATTAATTTTCTTGGAATATTTCAGGATGGAAACCAGGTATAATCGTGCCATTTTTCTTGTCCCCGGATCGAAGACCCGCAAAAATAGTTACGAGCCTTTTTAAAAAATTGATGCCAGGAAGAACCTCGAAGGACTGCTGTTTTAATGGCAGGCAAAGCATAATTTCCTTCGGTTCCATTTCCCGCCCACGAAAACCTTGATTACGTGTCAAAATATGCCACTTCGCCCATCATGATGATCATTAAGGTGTACCGAATTGGCGAAGGAAATGAGTGTGCTGAAATGGGAAGCATCGACGGATTGCCGGGTGCGGCCGAAGTTGAAAACCGCGACTGTGAATAATTCATGTGCAAATTCTGGCGACGCATTTTGTGCGTGATGGCCATTAATTATCCTCTGTCACATTTCAAATGAGTCTTTGAGACATTAAAGACACTAAAGAAAAACGAAGAAATTATCGCATTTACCCGATGTTAACGATGGGCCAAGAAAGATACAACTTCTCATTTTAAAAATTTATTTCTCAAAATCGAATGCAATTACAAAGAGGTCCTGAGATGCTATCATAATTAAGGTACTTTTCTGACTATGCCCCTACATATATATTGGAATTGCCTCTTGCTGTAATTTTATTGCTGATATTTTCTTTTTGTTATCTTGGGGAAGGGGGTGTGCATTCAGATCAGTTATGAATTTGTTACTTTCTGTGATGTATTGTCGTTTTTGTTTGATCCTTGGACACCAGCAGCCTCCTTTCCATCCAAGGGCAAAGTTGGACTTTTTCCCCTTGGGTCTGAGTTACATTTTTGCACAAGGTTATGCAACCCCTGCCAGGTGGGGAAGGGCAAAGTCAGATTTTATCTGGGGAATAGAGAAATGCTGAGAAAGTCCTAAGTCAGTATTGACCTCTAACTTGGGCTCCTGGCTTTCAAGCTTAAACTTTATATTGAATGTGGGAACAACACACAGCCAGGGGGAAAAAGGGAGCCTTGAAGATTTAATTTTTCCATTCTCAAGTGAAATTTTTCCGTGGAAAAAAAAACCCAGGATTTTTCCCAACTTTGCCCATCACACACTCTCATGGTTTTTTAAAATGTAATTTCTGAGTGCACCCAAAATCTGCAAAAATAGTCTAACTTTGTAGCAGAAGCAAGGGCATATTTAACCTTAAATACCGTATTTACTCAAGTACCATGCGCCCTTGAGTAAGGCACGCAGAGGGGTTTTTTAGTTGGAAATTTTGCTAAAATCTTTTCCCTCAGTAAGACGCGCACCCTAATTTTTAGTGAATCTGAAACAAAAAAATTTTGCAAATAAAAACAAAAAATTGACTTTAGGCATGAATTGAACAAAAATCTCATCAATTTTCAACTTTTTCAGTACAAAAACGTTTCTTTGTTACATTTGCTCCAAATTTCTCCATTATAATGAAGTATAATGCACACATAACTTTCTAAAACTTCTTGAAAATGTTGTACCTGCTTATGACATCCACCACTTTTTTTCTTCTGAAATTTGGGGAAAAAGGTGCACCTGGTACTCAAGTAAATATGGTAGCTTATTTCTCTACAATACATTGCATCTTGATGTGATGGAATATTTTTGGATAGATGTGGGAAGGGGAGGGGATTTGGATGTGGGAATTTTATTTGAACCTTTTGAGTGCTGAACAGCAGAAAATAAAGCTTGTTCATCAATCAATCAATACAGTATATTGGAATGTCCACTGGTTGGATCACGCTTTTTGGTATTAGACTTAGACAAGAAAATTTACAATTGCAGTAATTTTCACTAGAAAAAAAGATAGGAAAATAACCAATCAACAATTCCATGAATTTAAAAAAAAGTTTAAATGCAAAAAATACTGTAAGCGTGCAGAGGAAAACCCACATAAAATCTCCCCCTTCTGACATAGAAAGGAGCCTAAAAATGAAAAAAAGAGCACATAATCTCATAAGCTTGTAAGAGAATAAGTTTATTTTGGGTGAAGAGAATATGTTCAATAAATTAAAGAGATCCATTTTGAACTGGAGCTGAGGTTTTGCATAAATTCATCAGGAAAGTTGAACACAAATCCATGAATTCCTTGATTCCAAAAACTTCAACTTTTCCAACTACAGATTTTTCAATTGAATATAAAATTTTATTTTCCCATTCAAAATTTGCTCGGAAGTTCTATGTCCAGTCCAGGTGAAAGAAATCTATAAACCTTAATCGTTACTGTGATTGGAAGCTCCACGTGGAGGCTTCCATCGATCGCAGATTGTTCTCGAACATGGAAACAAACTTGGGCTTGTTTCTTTTTTTATTTCCTGCGTTTCTGTGAATGAATCCGACTGTCCAGAGGGAAGTTGGAAGGTGCCCTCGTAGATATCACAGAGATCAGTCATTTTACTTCCGGCTCTATATGAAGGCCTTCCGGGGGGAGGACGAATTTTCATTCCTCGCGACCCGCGCATTAAACAAATTTTTGTTATGCACTTAATTTGTACACATGTTACTAAAAAAAAAAGGAAAGCAGGTTCGAGAATTCAGTAAGGAAATTAAAATGATTTGTCTCAAAACTTTTGACCAGTTCTGCTGTATTTCGAGATTGGAAAAACACTTCTCGACTTTGTTCATGCGTATTTTTTTCAAGTACTGTATGTTAATTTATCGAGGTTTTGGATTTCCTCAAATATATGAAGGATTTTTAGAGGGTGTTCCAAAAATTAGTGGGAATTTTATTCACTTGGTTGAAATTACAGTACTGCAGTTCGAAATAGTGTACTGTACTGTACATTTGTGACAAGGGAATTTTTCAGTCCAAACAATTTTGAAAAAGAAAGTTTTTTCGTATAAAAAAATACTGTTAAATAAGAAGCATCACACATAATTTAAACTTTTCAGAGCATGCAGAACTTCCTGTTTTTTCCATTGGAAAAAACCAAAGCAATAAAAATTCGGATCTATCTCACGTGTTTGGTGACAAATAAAAACGAATAATTAAATCACAGTGAAAAGAAAGAACACCGGACATTAGCTAGTTTTTGTTGTTGTTGCCAGGAGCGTGCATTCCATGGAATATCTTGAATACAGAAGTTCTAAAAACCCTTGAAATTTCTGGATTTATCCAATTACTTTCAAGTTATTGTGAACTTTGTCCTATAGACCTTGGTTTTAAAATATCTAAAACTCAATTGAACATGTTCTCCATAAATTTTCAAAGCTTCTTTGAGAAATTTATAATGATCCTTATTTATGCTTCAGGGCACAGATTTAAATCCTCTGGGGGTATGCAAAATGATCCTGCACAAATGACTCAGTCCTTTTTATTTAAAATTATTGAAATCCGCGCAAGACCTGCCTTATTCTTAAATACTATACTATACTGTACTTGAAAAAAAAAAGGTCGGTGTGGTTCTTCATTCTTTTTCGTCCCCCACACCCTGCACCGAGGCCCGGTCTCATCCAGGCGCAGAGGGGTAATGGGGTTGTGGGTTCGGCCAAAAATAAACGGAAGTAAAAAAAAAAAAAAACCAAAGGAAAAAAAACCTCAGGATAGAACAGGATTCGCGTGTTATTGCATCGACGCTATATACGCCCGTGATGAGCGAGTAGCCAGGATGTAGTATGCTGGTGTTGCATATGGCTGCGCACGCACCAAAGAATGCAATAAAAAAGAAAAGAATCAGAAGGAAGAATAAAAAAAAAAGGGAGACCATGTGCTTTATATATACACGCTCAGCTTGTCACAGTGGCCCCGTGAAATTCCCCGTCAACTTGGGTCAGTTTTCTATCTAACCTGGCTTCGTGCACCACTAAACAACGGTGTCCGGTTCCCGCGTGCACAATTTACTTGTCCTTTCCGTCGCGGAACAATATTTGACATAGAACGGTGATGGCCAGAAAAAAAGAAGAGCCCATGGACGGGATTCTTGGAACCTCATCACTTAAAGGGGGTGTTGATTGTGGTGCAACTGAGTGGAATCACTGAAACTGTGCAGCCTATAATTGAGTGTCCATACTCCATCCTCTCATCATCAATATGCTGGGCCCAATTATCAAACCTCATACGATGAAAATAATTAATGCAGGCTATGCTTGTTGTATGATTTGTTTCATATACGTACAGATCACATTCATGCAAAGAACACATTTTCGATTGATGGGATGAACAATTTGATCAGATGGCCAGAAAAGCAAGGAGCCCATGATATCAGATGGCCAGAAAAGCGAGAGGAACTTCATCACTAAAGGGGTGTTGATTGGGGTGCAACTGACTGGAATCACTAAACTGCAACCAAATTAAGCACAGCTGAGTTACATTATTGGTAAAAAAAAATCACATTATACTGTGAAGAACAAGGTTATCATCCTTGGTGCCACTTTTGTTTGTCATGCTGTAGTATGAATAATTGCACCAAAAACCTTGATCTAGAGAAAGTTCTTAGTGCAATGTGTTTGTAGTATGAGGCACCACTGTAAAAATTGTACATGAGAAAGAGTAAAGGAGATGTGTTTGGGAGTCAGAACCTCAGAACCAATGGCTAAATCAGTTGCACGCCAATCAAACATAATCCAAAACACAATTAGTTGAAAGGTGCAATCAATCCTCTTTTTGTCAAACTCCAAGGGAAATGCAGATAAATTTAATTTAGGCCAGTTTGGAAATATTGAAAATGCAGTTTTATTCAGGACAGAAAGAAGCAATGCAGGAAATTATAATTTGTGATATTCTGGGCATTAACCCTTGGATGGCAAAGGGTTCTTTCTCAGTGCGCGGTAGACTTGGGATTTTTTGGGGGGCAGCGCATCTCAGTTTGACCCAAGGTTACTGAAATGCGCCCAGGTTGAGGAGGACTAAGTCGGGAAAAATCCATGAGGCAAATTTTCTTTTGTCCCCAAGATTTCCCCATGCAAATCCTATGCCAGGAATGCAGGAAAAAACATCACCCAGCCAGGGATTTTTTAAAAATTTTTGTTGACAATTTTCCGCAGGATTAGAAAACAATCTCAGACCTTTTCCTAACTTAGCCCTTGGTAAAAAAAATAGTTTTTTT